CAAGGCTATTTGAAAGATAATATTAAGTATAGCTCAAAAAAGGTGTTTTTAAGCTATTGAAGAGGAACTGATCCATTGTTTCAACATGTCTAAATAAACTAATTATTTAGAAAACAACCTCCTTTTATAAAAGTCATACCTAGTCTATATTTTCAACAAACACTGCATGAGTTATATGTATTTAAGCAAAGTGTGTTGCTCTCTGTGGATCAAGTGCTGATCTCTTCAGACACTATACTAGTGTGTCAAGTGGCCATACTCAGAAACAGGAGACAGTTTCCTGACACATGGCCTGGTAACCAAAAAAAGAAAGGCCACAATACACACTCATAAGAATCGTAATAATTATCTTGAATGATTCTTAATTGTGTACAATATCATCATCCTTACTACATACAAGAAACATCTTTAACCGTTTACAGCTGAATCTTTCAATATGGTATCCAGCCTGTTGCTTTCTGTGCAAAGCACTTCTAGTAATGAATGTGTGTTAGCATTTGTCTTTCAGGTACCCTAAAAGAGGTACCTCAGCAGTATTAGCATTCCTCACTGCATTTATATTTAAGGCATTTACTGTAGCCAATGTCCCCCTCAAGAGTGATTTATAGCCAGCGTGCAGGTATGGATTAGTGTCTTTGTTCAAGGACACTTGGACAGGACACAAGCTTGTTGATGCACAAACTGTCTCTTGAGAGAATTAAACCTATGACCGTTCAAATACTGGACAGTCCAACACTCAAGCCTACCCTACTAATCCTAAATGTGGAGTACTTTACAGATTTGTAAGTCATCCATATTTCTATGTTTGATATAAATCTTCTTTTTCATGATATTTTATTTAGACAAATATGGCCTAGTTATCCTCATCCACTGATCCCTTCACATTAATACACTATACATTAATTTAATACTCATATCCGTCATATCTGTTAGTATTTTGTAGACTATGCTTTAAAAGGATGACAGTAATTATTACATAATGTGACTAGTTTATCTGTTAAGCAGCGAAAAGCAAATTAAAAGACCATGACTTCAATTACTGAAAACATCTACTTAACATCAAATTACATGATGCACTCATACCTTTTGTGAAGTCTCAGGGTTTCAGTAGTAACTCAAAGAGAACATATGATTAACTGTAAAAGAAATCAAGCAGAGGGAACAAGAGCAGGAAATTGTCCCAGTGTCCTCTGTGTTGAATACACTGTGGCTCAGTATATAGAGTTGGAATCAACAATTAACTCAACATGACATATCGTATTATCCATTTAAACCTAAATGGCAAACAGAGAGTTCTGATCAGGCCTTAATAGGAAGCTTTGAAATTTTAAACCTGTTTTAGTCAGTGCCTTATAAATAAAATGTTTTAAATGTTAATCGCAACTGCCAATTTATTTTCCATTTGAATGGTGCATTCATCATGGTAGCCTTCCTGATTTTAGATTCTCATGCACTGAAACAGTGTTTATCTCTTAGTTATGTCAATATCAAGTATTCAATTTCTGCACCACAGAGATTACCAATCCTTTTAATTTCAGTAGGAATTACTTTTATTCATCCTTTCTAATTCAGTGATCTGAGTACTAGCATATTTTAAGAAATGCATTTCTGACAAATTGATGTGATAGCGAGATAGAGGTGATGTGCCAGGATGAACGGATGCAGCCTGTAAGCTACCAGTTAGACATTATCTGCATCACTGCAGATGTGCAATAAAAAATAGTCCTCAGTAAATCATTTGAAAGGCTTTATTCACAGATGCTATACATTCACTTTGAAAAATATTTACTAGCTGAAGCTTGTATGTCTGTATTTCAAACAGATTATTCCAGCCTCAAAACATGATTGTTTTGTCTCAGGTTAAATAAATCAAGATCCTCAGATGAGGTAACTTTAAAAGTAAACCATACTATGGCCTGTCATATGACTCTTTCATAAGTGTAGTATTATCCACCATATTAAGTAATTGGTTGGCATCTTATTTTAGAATTAATATCTTCAGTTCTTTATTTGAATGTTACTCATGTGGTTAGATAAGCTTCCATTGCCATTTGTGCAAACAGATCTATCTAGAGTCTCAAGAACAAAGGTAAAAGTGATTAAGTCTGCAGTCTAAAATTAAAAAACTTAACAGTTTAAATATGAAATCTCTCTCATCCTCATTATTACAAAAACATCACAGCAAAAGGAGTCCCTATTTGCTACTCATATTTACAGCAATGTCTAATAATGTTCAGCCAATGTCTGTACTGAATGCAGGAAAACTGGCTGCTGCATCAGACGGACCCTTGACAACACACTTGTCACACTTTCTCTACCTCTCTACACAAGGCTATGAGCCCCCTCTGTTGTTGCAACATCTCACTACTACTGACAGGTTTCAATGATATGAACTTGAAGACATGCAAACATGGATCACTAGCTAAAACAAAATTCAAACTTAAAAACTGTGATATGAGTTTCGCAGTTTGTAAAATCTACGGTGCTGCACCTATCAACATCAACATTAAGTCACTACTCAGATGGTGTTTCTCATATAACAGCCTTGAAAAGAAAGCACCAGCAAAGACTGTAATGTCATGTGAAAGTGGATTCAGCACACAAAACAAATTAAAACTAAATTCATGAATTCACAGATTAGTACAAACCCCACCAAATCTGATGCTCATTTCAAGGCTTTTTGTCGTCCCCAAGAGCAGTTTGGGGTTTTTTTGTTTTTTTGTTTTTTTTTTTTTTTTACAAGCAAAGTTGTTATTACGTGGGAGGATATTAAATAGAGAACACTGGGTACAAGGAAAGAATAAAGCATGTATAAGAGATAAGAGGGAGCCACCAAAAGAGAGACAAAGGACAATGATTGCGCTCAAAGAGATGACCACTAAGAGAGGTGAATGAGAAACAGACAACAAATTACAGTGATGTACAGTATATAGTTCAGAGAAACCCCTCAGTTGGAGGAGAGCGATGAAGTGCAATCTGGAGTAAGAATAGAACAAGGTAAGACCTGTAGTTATTTTGTGTTTTGAGTAAGAGGTGTGGCTGTCATCACAGATACAATGCAATGATCCAAGTAAGCCAACTAGCTATCTATGGCCAATCATACCCATTCAGCCACATTTGACTGAATGCAACAATTCATGCCCATCCTCTGGAAGCAGACAGACAAGGCAAGTTGAGAGCAAGTGCGTACCTCCTTTAAAGCCCTGCTCAAATGTAGTGTAACAGGAGCACTGATTTACTTTCCTCAACAGCATTTTCCCACCCTGTCATGTGACTCCAACCAGTGATTTTTGGTCAAAAGCTTGCTTTCTGTCTATTTCATTACTGATTCAAATAAAACACGAAATAATCTCCTGCCCATACTTTTCAGATAGAAAGTGGCAGAAAATGGAAAGAGGCTAAGCTGTGGTAGTTGAGGCAGTTCAGTATCACGGGGAGCTGAGGGTGGGCAATGATTGACAGCTCCAAGTGGCTCCTCCGTCCCGCCTCCCTTCTATTTTTGTATGTGGCCAGATCAAAGCATGTTAGCAGGACAACAGACAGGGAGCCGGCAGCCAGCAACAGAGACAATGTGAGACAGCCAGGGAAATAAACATCAGCATCTATACACAACAACACTACACTGGATCCCAAAACCAAAAACAAACTGCCTGTGTGTGTGTGTGTGTGTGTGTGTGTGTGTGTGTGTGTGTGTGTGTGTGTGTGTGTGTGTGTGTGTGTGTGTGTCCTCTGCTCTTGCTGGCTAAATGAAACAAGATCCTTGTCTGCTAAGTTCAGGCTGAGTGTTGATCACCAGCAGATTCCAGAAATAACATGCAACGGATGTAACTTAGGTCACAACCTGGCTAGTAGCACTATGCTAATCTGCTTCATCATATTATAACAAAAATTGCAGTGTGCGATTACTTGAACAAAGGTAATGCAATAGTACACTTGCAGAACGAAGTACATACTACTACAGTAATAGTGCCTACAATTATTCCTTTAAATATACACACACGGAGACACACATACGTATATATATACACATATGTAATTGTGCTATTGGAATAATCATCCCAACCACACATAATGCCAACTTCAGTAGTGCAAACAAAGACTGTAAAAGTGCCAGAATATAATAAACAACCCAAAACATTGTAATTTCCAGATGAACATGAAAAAAACCCTAACATGTTCCACTGTACAGATGAGGAATTGTGGTTCAATGGAGCTGTCAATACAATGCCTCCTGACAGCCTTTAGAGTCAGGGACTCTGACTCTTATTAAGTAAATAAAAAATAGTTTGTTATTTTGTCTATCATTGAGGCTATCCAAAAATCTGTGTTTTGCTCATCAAAAAACCCACAAGTGAAGCTGCTCTGGACAATAGTGGGCTGTGATGTCGCATGTGCATTGCTCATAGGCATAGCACAATTTACCGACAATTAAAGGCATGGCTCTTGAAAGTCTGTTAGCTGGAAACACATTTTGTATGAAGAGGTGTTAAATGTTAACTATTATCTACTCTGAACTCTAACTGATCCAGATTTAATGTCAAGTGGACTGGTCAAGGCCGGTTTTCCCAAACACCCTCTTAGCACTCGGATTAGGTTCGCTCCAAGGACTTATACAGAAACACACTTGATCACAGTGCTTTGACAGCTCATGGGACATTCAGCGCAGAGGCTTTTCACCAATATGGAATGCCAGTCACTTAACTGCTGTTGCTGTTGATCTGTCTGCATATGTCTGCCCCTGCCTCTTTCTCATCTGATAATTACAGTCTCTTCCTGTCTTTCTTTCCGACTATTCCTATTCCTATTCTCTCCATCTCTCTCAGTCACAGTGAAAGGTTTCGGGTTGCTGGTTGTAAGCCAAGGAAATGTTTGGTGTGTGAATCACAGTTAAATGCAATCTGTTGGCTTTCCTGTTGCTTCAGCTGTGATTTCAGTTCCGGTGCAAAAACATTTGTGGGGACATTGGTGTCAGCTGGACATGCCAACTAGTCGTACTCACTATGTACCTCAGCCAAAGTGAGCCCAAAATAAAACTTGTGTGTAGCAGAGTTTATGTACAGCATAAATATGTACATTATTGAAATTAGTTCAAAGTTTAAACACCAACACTCACAGGTCACAAGTCAGTATTTTCCAGTCCTTATCAATCACTCTATGTGATCTCTGACCTTATTGTGCTATGCATCAAGTAAAAACTGCAACAACAAAAAAAAAAAAGATTGACGGCCTGACTGAATTTTTGTGTATGTGTGTCCTAGGTTCGGTATTCTGCTCAGAAGATGAGACTCGTCTGGTGAAAACCCTGTTTACTGGTTACAACAAGGTGGTCCGTCCCGTGAACCACTTCAGTGAAGCCGTAGTAGTCACAGTGGGACTGCAGCTAATTCAGCTTATTAGTGTGGTAAGTGAGAGGTAGAGACATGCCACTGGAAAAAGCTAAATTCAGTTGTTTGTTTGTGAAGAAACAGAACAGAAATTGAGTTTGTTTTTACATAAAGAAAGAAATCAATAGCTGTCTCACTGTAACTTAACAGCTCTTTCTTCTCCCTGTAATTTTTAGAAATACACTGATATTAGTAATTTTACTTTCAGGAAGACTCATAGGCTTTATACTCCACTACTTGCCACATAGATAGTGCAATTTCTTTTTTTCTTATTTGAACTACTTTTCCCTTCCCTTGTTACTCCTAGCAAAGAAAGCATAGTCATCAATGGAGAGGGCTACAACTTTGAGTATCAGAGCTTACTTACTGCACAGTTGTAAACTACAGTTTAAAAAAAACTTACTAACTTGTGTTCTCATTGTATTACATGACCAAAAAACAGGCTATGTAGTCAATGCAGCAATAGATAAGATATTCAACACTTTGTAAAGGGGGCCCTCCATACCATGCTGTGCCAGTCACTATTTTTAAGATTAAGGTAGCATCATTGGGAAACTAAGCAGAGATCCTGAAGTTAAGCCATGCTGCCAACAGGTCTTAAGTGAGACATGGGATTCACCAAATACATTGCAAACACATCAAAGTATAAACAAACAATCCCACTGATAAGAGGAAAAAGTCAAAGCAACTGACAGATCACAAAAAGTACAGCTATCCGACAGTCCTTAGCACTGAAGTCGACAAAGCAATTCTGACAACATTGTCAGTCAATGCAGAAAGGATGACAATTATGCACTGGCCAAGTGGTTTGAATTAACAACAGATAATATTTTATAACACTGGTAGCATTTCTCACAGCATTACCTAATCTCCAATAAATTCAAGTTCTATGATTGTGTCACATACAGACAAAGGAACAAGTATTTACACCATGTGATGGCATGGCAGCCAAATAATGTAAAAATAGGCACACTATAGAGACCAAGGCTACCTCTCAAATGAATCCAGCCACACTGCGTGACCGAGAACACAATGCAACAAGATGAGAGCGACCTAAACGACAACAGGCTGTCACCTTGAGGTTATGCCCTAACTTAAAAGCCAGGAGTCACAACAAGAGCACCAGTTCAGTGATGGCATGGTAGCCACAAAACACAAGCAGAATGCAAATTTTTTTTTTTTTTTTTTTTTTTTTTTAAAATCGCTCTTACTGTTCGTAGCTCTCCTTCTGCGCCTCTAGATAGATGACCAGGGCTGAAATTCCTTCTTGACAAGTCTGTCAATGACACTTTTCCTCCTACAATTGAGCAATATACATATACATATATACACACACACATTATATATATATATATGTTTGTGTGTGTGTGTGTGTGTGTGTGTGTGTGTGTGTGTGTGTGTGTGTGTGTGTGTCTTTTGTTTTTAAAGGAATTACCACAATTTCATTGTGATAATGTCATTGTGCTATTGGAGTAAACATACCAGCCACATACAACACCAACCTCAGCAGTGTAAACAAAGATTGTAAAAGCTCCATACAATGGTCAGCTGTACAGATGAACACTTCGTTACAATTGAGTTGTTAATACTATGCCTCCTAACAGCTTGTAGAGTCAGGGACCCTGACTCTAATTCTCACATGAATCAAACCACACTCCATGACTGAAAACACAACGCAACAACCTGAGAGCGACCTAAACAACAACAGGCTGTCACCTTAAAGTTATGTCCCGACTTACACTCTAGACAAGCCTAGAGTCACAACAAGAACACCGGTTCAGTGATGGCACGGCGGCCACAAAACACAAGCAACGCAGCACAACACAAGCAGAATGGGGAAAAAAATGCTCTTACTGTTAGCAGCTCTCCTTCTGCGCCTCTAGCTAGCTGAACCAGTCCATAAAGATGATGGCTAGGGCTGAAATTCCGTCTTGACGAGTCTGTCGACGACACTTCTCCTCCTTTTTAAAAGCTGCTGAAAAGGTCGTAGTCTTCTCTGCTCTCTTCCCCATGGTCCGTCTGTTGCTATTGGACAACAATTAACTAGCATTAGCAGTGCTGGCTTTAAAAAAAACACTCATTCTTGCTAACATTAACATTAGCTACCGTTAACATCAACTAGCATACACAAAACCAACAGACTTCAACAAACCTTTCACGTTATCGGTAAGGCTGGATGCCGATGCTGTTGTACCCATCTCCAAAGACTTGTCTTTACCTTGAGTGGAAAACGTTTTCTCTTCGTTTATTCTAATTGTATAACAATGGAAGCCCGTTCACTGTCCTCGGTATAAATAAAACTGAGGAAAAGTAACCTCTGACTAAAGTCAAATTCGCATCTGCTCGACCGTTAATATTCAAATTTAGGGAGCAAAGACGCTTGCGCGCGCGCAACTGGACTGACTTTGAGCTGCTCAAAACAGTTTCCAACAAATGCTTGAACAAACTTTTCACGTTACCAAGGTTGTCGCCATCTCCAAAAACTTGTCTTTACCTTGAGTGGAACGCGTTTTCTTAGTTTATTTTAATTTTACAACAATGGAAGCTCGACCGTTGTCCTCTGTGGCAATCAAACTAAAGAAAAATAAAAGTCGACCAAAGTTAAACTCGCCAACAATACTTCCATTTAAGGATCAAAGGGCGCCTGCGCGCGCGCAACCGCATTGACTTTCCAGCTGAAATGGAGGGAAAACATTGGATTGGACTTTGGATTTGATCAAATCATTTTATATTATTTTTTTACTTCTATTACTTAAATGACACAGAAATGTCACACAAATTACAAATTATATTTTGTTATGAAATTATATTAAAAAAAATAGCTTCTGACTGTTTGCTGTCTTCTTCTGCTTCTCTCAGGATGAAGTTAACCAGATTGTGACCAGTAATGTCCGTCTCAAACAGGTAAGTGTGACTGTTGAACAGTAGTCTTGTGGAAGAATTACTGATCACTTTTATTAAAGTGAAAGCAGTGATATTTTGGAGTATCATCATTGTTTCATTGACATGTTGTAGAAGTAGAGCTCATTTCAACAACTTATAGCCTAATGTTGGGTTGTCTAATCTATAACAATGTATATTTTATAAACTGACCATATGTTTTACCTATAGAATATTGATCTGAAGTAGCTCTCTACTCAAGAGTTATTACAAGAATTATAATTTCATTTAGTTCGCTACATTGCAAATTGGTAAATTTAACAGCATTTGGTGATTATAAGATCCAAATACTTTATGTTAGAAATACTATCTCTATTAATTCTGTAGTACAGTGAGTCAAGGTTACTGTAATATTTAGGTACATAACTGTCAATGATTTCACCAACAAACAGTGTTTCATAGTGTAACATACATACATGTGAAGCCCACAATGCAGTTTCTGAGTTGTCATAAACTACTTAGATTTTAGTAATTAATCTGCTGTATGCTTTGAAGTAACCTTTAAATATAGAACATGATAAAAACGATCTAGATTTTTATTTGTTTTGATGTGTATACTGTACACGTAGCCTACTGTACATGACAACTTGTATTTAATGCTTAGGTTGGCATTAAACAACTTAACCGTTCTTTACAGTACATTAGCAGACCAAAAGATCTAAAGTTTTCTAATTTGCACCCCAGCAATGGTTAGATGTGAATCTGAATTGGAATCCAGATGACTACGGAGGCATCAGAAAGATCAGAGTCCCTTCAACCGACATATGGAAACCTGACCTGGTGCTATACAACAAGTAAACACACATTCCCTGTCTTTTTGAAAAACACACCTACATTTATCATTCCTCAAACGTCTCACTGCTCCTCTGCGACTCTTCTTCTCCTCTGCAGTGCTGATGGTGACTTCGCCATCATCCATGAAACTAAAGTCCTGCTGGAGTACACTGGGATGATAACATGGAACCCTCCAGCCATCTTTAAGAGTTACTGTGAGATTATTGTCCTCCATTTCCCCTTCGACCTGCAGAACTGTAGCATGAAACTGGGAACCTGGACATATGATGGACTGCTGGTTGCCATCCACCCAGTGAGTGTAATTTATACATTTTTGGGGTTATTATGACAGATTAGCATCAGTGGTCAAGATAAACTGAGGTGTCTGTTGTTTTTAATATACTACAAATTTAGTAACTCTCCACTTTAAAAATAAATAACTTAACCATCCTCATCACTTCTGTTATATTATTATAACAAAATAGTATGAGATCATAAACTTCATCCAATTTAAAGACTACATTTCTCAAGAATACCAGAATAATACCAGAATTGCCTGCATGTTTTGTAAAATTAATTATAAATCCATAATTACCAATTATTAAAAAGCAGAATGTGAGGGGGCGTCGTGTGGCGTAGTGGTCTAAGCAGGCGCCCCATGTGTAGAGGCTACAGTCCTCGCTGCAGTTGGCCCCGGTTCGAGTCCCGCATCGGACGGCCCTTGCTGCATGTCATTCCCCCTCTCTCTGCCTCCCCATCTCCTGTCTCTCTCTACTGCACTATCAATAAAGGCATAAAAAGCCCAAAAAATATATTAAAAAAAAAAAAAAAAAAAAGCAGAATGTGAAAGAACTGGATTTTAAAACTTGTACCGTCCAAACCCAAATGCCCTTACCATACCTTTTTAATACCCTTTTCTATTGTAACCTTATTTTGTCCTCCTCTGTTTTTTAGGACAATGATCGGCCAGACCTCAGTAACTTCATGGAGTCAGGAGAGTGGGTGTTAAAGGACTACAGGAGTTGGAAACATTGGGTTTACTACACCTGCTGTCCCGACACACCATACCTGGACATCACCTACCATTTCCTGATGCTGCGACTGCCTCTTTACTTCATCGTCAACGTCATCATTCCCTGTATGCTGTTTTCTTTTCTCACCGGACTGGTCTTCTACCTGCCTACTGACTCTGGTACGTAGATCCTGGTGGGTTCTGTAATGTTAACCCAGTATTGACAAGCAAGGTGTTAGTTCATCAGTTTGTCTGTAAATTCCCAACTGGCCACCAGTTTCTGCTATAAGAGCTTTTTGAAATGTATTAAACCTGTCTAAACGTTGTCACCATTTTTGGTAACAGCCAAAGTACCACTCAAACTGCAGTATGTCATAATGGGAAAGAAATTGCATAAGCAATATAGCTCAAATTCAGGTCACCCCCATACATTACAGTAAATTGCAATAGAGTAAATACAGTAAAGTTTATTTAGGTACACACATGGGTTTTTAGGTAATAAGTCTTTAAAACTTATATATAGGTAGAAATATGAAGCAGGACATCAAGACCTGCAGTGTAAAAGTAGCCTGACTGTCTGTCTTTGTGTCCCCAGGTGAAAAGATGACTCTCTCCATCTCTGTCCTGCTGTCTCTGACTGTCTTTCTGCTGGTTATTGTGGAGCTGATTCCCTCCACCTCCAGTGCTGTTCCTCTCATAGGGAAATACATGCTCTTCACAATGGTGTTTGTCATCGCCTCCATCATCATCACCGTCATCGTCATTAACACGCATCACCGCTCGCCCAGCACACACACCATGCCAGCGTGGATCCGCAAGGTTCATATGAGTATCATATCTATGATTGTCATTTAAGAAATGCCATTGTTGTTGTATGTGACTGATTTAAAATAGGAATGTAATCAGTACCTGTGTCTGTCTCAGGTCTTCATTGAAACCATTCCCAACATGATGTTCTTCTCAACAATGAAGCGCCCCAGTCAGGAGATCCGACAGAAGAGACTGTTCCCTACTGACATGGACATCTCTGACATCTCAGGCAAGACTACAGCTATATGACAGATCCCAGAGATCAGTTTCAGAAAGCCAGATTTTATATACTGTTGGCTTGTTAGTGTAACAGGCAGGCGTGTCAGAGGAAAAGATTTTGATAATACCAACTGACCTCAGATATGGTGTACTGTTCTTTATGATAAAAAATGTAAATACATTGAAGTCAGTAATATAATAATTATTAGGGAAGAAAATTGTCCAGGGTGTTGTCTTTCTCCATGTGCCCCCACAACTACAGTCTGTCCCTGTTTTCTCCTCTGCAGGTAATCCCACCCCTACAAGCGTCACCTACCAGTCTCCCATCGCTAAAAATCCTGATGTCCGCAGCGCCATTGAAGGGGTGAAGTACATCGCTGAGACCATGAAATCAGACGAGGAATCTAACAATGTAAGAAAGCACTTTCATGAATAATGGATACAAGGTTATCAATCTATGCAAGTTTATGAAATACATAAAACAGACTGGAATTAAAATGGCACAAAAAAACAACCTGTCTGACACTTGGCAATTAACACATGGAGGATCCTATAACCAGTGATGCAGTAGCAGATTTTTTGCAATACGTAGGCAACTGTTCCGTTAATACCATAAATCAGTGATAATCATGAAGCAAACCAATTTTCCAGATCAGTTTCATAGCACTTACTATTATTACTTTTAGCAAGTGCTCATTAAATAAATTGCCACATTGAGAAGTTTCTTGTGTGTCTGTAAGGCAAATTTTAAAACATAAAGCAGCAACATTTTATCAAGACATCAACCATGGTGCCTTTATGAATGTGAACAGAGACAGTGCCAAACTCTTTACAGTATAACACTGGTTCAGAGTGACTCATGGCATCATTAGTGTCATTTATGGGTAAATAAATACCTTAATCATGGACATCCAAAGTCAAAGGTCCTGAAATATGATTTTCTCTCTTCCTCGTCTCGTCTCATCCCAGGCAGCAGAGGAGTGGAAGTTTGTTGCCATGGTTTTGGACCATATCCTGCTCTGTGTGTTCATGGCCGTGTGCATCATCGGGACGCTTGCTGTCTTTGCTGGGAGACTCATCGAGCTCAACATGCTGTAGGGGCCTGACCCATGAAGGAGTATGTGTGTTATCAGAATCAATGTCATACTTGGAGATGCATGAGAAAAGTTTCCATCAATGGACTGCTTCACGTTGTTCTCTTTCTCCATCTGTCTCTCAGACACAGACAGACACACTTTAAGTCGATTTTTAAATATAGTAAAGTGCTGTCACTCGTGTCACTTTCAAATGTGTGAGTTTGTGTATTTACTGAAACTGAGGGCAAATCCAGGCATCACATGAGTCAGGTGATCTAGATGGGTCATACTTGAATCTATTCTTGTCACTAACAATTTGTCTATTTTTTTAAAATGTTTTTCTACAGTGTGTTTTATTGCTGCATAATTCTGGCAGTCTCTATGAGTGTAATTTAAAACTCGTATGAAAAAGCCATAACAGTAATAATTGATTTGTTCTGTTTTCTTTTTTTTTGGCAGCTTGAGTTAAGATCTGTGTTGGAGGATTTTCTTAAATGTTAAAAAAAAAAAAACTTTAACATGATAATGTTTGTTTTCATGTCCACTATGCTGAGGACTTAACTGAGAATGGATACAATATCATTAGCAAATACATGTACTTTACTTTCTATAGACAATTTGAGCTATTAGGAAATTTGAATCCCATCTCCATCCCATTATGGTGGGTCGGTTGAGGGCTTCAATTTAAAATTACTGTCTAAGGAGAAACCTGGATGTTACAGGAAGTGGAAGAGGATGTGTTCAGATTGTTGAAAGCTGAACTACTAATTTAACAGTGCTTCGGTCCAATTTTATCTTTAGTTGTAGAGACGAGTCTGGCTGATGACATTGTCTTGGCCTTTGAGTGCAGGCAAGATTATTTCCTGCCTGGAAGTTTTATTGTTTTAATTTGCCTGACACTCGACTGACTTCCAAACGTCTCATTTATATTTATGGGTTAAAGTTGTGAATTGTGGTATGAAATTCAGATCACACGTGTGATTCAGAAAAAGAAAACTACTTCACATATTCATGGGTTAGTGGCAACGTTTGCTTTGTCACTGATGCATGTAAATTCCACTTAACTCTGTTGTACATTTTGTTTAAGGTTCATTAGTTAAGAATTTTTTTTTTTTTTTGACAAATGATTTGATTTTTAACCACATTGAAGTGATTGAAAATCAGTTTTACTTAATCTGCATATTTTTCAGTGAATATCTGTAAAGACTGAAGACAACAGACCTGAATGCCTGTTGAAGGTTGAGTTACTGGTGAATGTCGAGCCAACAAACTAAGTAAGAGAAACTCAGGCAGCCATCCCAGTGCTGATTATTTAAATAGCAGCATAGCTGAATTGACCTTTCTCTGCTGTTAACACTCAGTTTTGGTAAATTTAGATTTGTCTCTTCTTGTACATGGAGATCTTCAACCACTGACCATACCAGAGATCAAAATAATAATTTGAATAAATTCTGTCAAAGAGTAGTTTCTTGTTTAAGGGTCATGGAATAAAAGCTGATGAGTTTTGTTCAGCTTTAATTGTGCCATTGAAAATACAACAAATTGTGACGTAGCAAAGGAAGGTTGTTTAGCAAGTAATGAAAGTGAAAAATTTAATGACATTTAAACTTGTCTGTTATTGCTGCAGTGTTACTGCCTGTGTTTACAGCGACCAGCTGAAGGCAACTTGATTTATTTTGCAGCTGTGGTTTTATCCATTTCAGTTTAATTATACAGTAAAGTTCTGTAAAGTCATATTGCACTGACCATTTGTTGTGGTTTTTTATATTTGTAGTTGTGTAGATGTGGAAAAGAGTGAAAAATAAAAGTCATTATTCACTTAGTTTATGCCATATCTTCTTTTATTGTTGTATTATAATGGATTTGCTATGCAAAGCTCAGACTTAACCGACATAATATATCATTAAATCTTACATCTTTTCCATAAGTATCCTATCACTTATTCCTTACAGCAGGCCTATAATCTAGTTCTGATTGGGCACTGAAGCAGATGGGGACAGCATTTAAGAACCACAACAGCACAACTATCGCCTTCTTTTGTTGTTAAAAAACTTTATTATATGTGCCACACGCACACTTGACATTCAGCATTGGCAGAAATTCACCTGATAATTCTAGCAGTGCAAAAAAAAAAAAAAAAAATGGAGAAACTGCAAATACAAAGTGACCAGGTACTACACGTGCCAGTATGTGAGACATCCTGTTGAGTATCTGAGAAGTTTTTTTTAAATATTAAAGTGACAGCTTCATATTTGGAATTTTTTGACATTTTCATCATCAGCAGTATTATTGAGAGTAACAAGCTTGTTAACACTGGTAGCCTTTAGCTAAACACACATCAGTAAGCTGGTACAGGTACCATGATGCAACACTTTTGCAACTTCTGGAAACGCAGCTGCCTGGTGCAGTGAAAAATGGAACAAATCAAAATGTCAAGCTGCGGTCAAGGCGTGGTGTCAGACAACTTTCTATTCATAGAGTGGTCTCTCCTCAACATTCAACAAAGGTTTGTCCAAGAATACTTTTGCTGCCAGGTACGGATTCAGAAGGGAGGTCCAAATCTTTACAGCAAGCTTTTGTTTTGATAGATTATTCTGGGTTGCTGCAAGGTTTAGAGGAGGTCAACAAACACACAATTACTGTGGAAACACTTTTAAAGTAATTTAATGTGTCGTGTATGTCCCACCAGAATATTTTGCCCACTTAGCCTAGGTGTTTCTAGGACCAGACCTGTACAACACAGGTAATGTAACAAATTTATATTTGCATGGACACCATTTCTTCTGGTTCCATTTAATAACAGAATAAATTGTTGTCAAAAACACCAGGTGCTAGTGCCGCCCCCGAAAGAGCCATGGACTGTCTTCATTTGATGCTGCTACAGTAGCTACACATTGCGCAGATTATAGTGTAAACTAATGGATATACTGGCAGCAACCAAGGCACGCATTATGATGGCACCAGGTATCTTCTGTGAGGGCACACATTTAAAACACAGTTAATGTAAGCACAAAGAATAAAACATATTTCTAAAAATGGTAATCCTCAGCACCCTGGAGGCTACAGAACCCAAACCAGGCCTATACTTTTAAATTGTTGTGACAGTAACGTGGCAGTTACAGATTACATGTCTTACAACAGTGAAGCAATACCCGAACTAAAGATTAAAACACAATATAGCCAAATAAATACAAAGAGAAAGTCAGTGCAAATGATGTCAGGAGATTCAGAAAAAACAACAGTGCATTTGGCAAATGATAATCCCATTGAGGACTCTGGCTGGCAATAACCAGATAGAGATAAATTGGCAGTTGTAGCTCCAATCTGTTTTTGTTTTTTTTGTTTTTTTTGCATGCCAAATGTTTAGTTTATTCAGAGACTGCTTCATTGCTGGCTCATCAGCACTAATGCACTCCTCAAGGTAATAAGTCATCTTAGGTAAACAGGCCCTATCTCAAAGAAGGTTCTTCATAAAACCACTTAATTTAACTGCTGAGGTTCACTTTTCCTACATTGCAAAACAGTCTTGATGAGGAAAAACAACAAGTCAAATTATTTCTGTAAAGTCTGACTCATTTCCAAAACTATTTTTTATCAGGGGAAACCTCGGACAAAGCAGCAGGGTTGTCCAGAATGGTGAAGAGTCAGCTTCTCCGACACAGAATAGCCTCCTAGCACACATTTTCTGTTGTGCCTGGCTGATCTGAGTTCAGTTATTGGATGGAGCATTCAGCATACAGTGTCCTGGATAAATGCAAGACTATGTGGGACATTTATCATGATTGGAAATAATCTGCTGTTGGCCTTTGACTTTGACTAAATCTTTCTCTAACTGTTGGTATACACCCTGGTCTATTCCTCTATTTTGACCAATAACTCCAGGACCTTTGCTCTTAACAGATCTGAGTGCAACGAGTGTTTAAATGCACTAACTGTGCTTTTCTGGATATCTGTTCATATCCGATATTCTGCCTGTCTGAGACAAGCTGTTCAAACATCATGAATAAACTTGATAAATTAAAATGATAAAATGTGTACATGCATCAGTGTTTGGTAAAATGTGAGTAAATCCAAGTTTTCCTAGATGTTTCAGAATTAAGACAAAAGCTTGTATGAGGGATTAAAACTAGGAGAGGAAAAAAGCCACAGCAGAACCCTGACACTTAATGGCATACTTGTATGCATGTACTGTAAACACAATTGATGATGCCCTGATTCATTAAAGGTTTGTCTAAAAATGCACTTTGTTAGAGCTTATGTTTTCTCACCAACCTTTGTGGGAAATATTTGTTTACAACCCAACAAAACAATAACATGTATGCAACATGTATTAGAATAAACTATGATATTTAGTAAAATATACAGTCCTGGTAGAGTTAAAAATTAAATGACTGAAATAAGAATCAGGGAATTAATTTCAATTGAAGCATGTATTTGTTTTTGCTGCATCTGAGGACAAACCTTTTGTGAACCAGCAGTTTAATCTAAAAACGTAACACTTTCCATTAACAAATCATCTATAAGCCAGCTACTTAAACCTAACAAAACTGTGAATCTTAGAATATTAAACTAAATCAGTTTGTCAGTAACCACATATAGAGCAGTATCAGCAGCCAACTATTCTATAAAGAAACAGCCTTCAGATTAAAACTACAATCATCAATCTGACAACTTCCCATTGAACCAATCAAACTGTTAAGGCCATGAAATGCTGGCATCATTTTAAGCAATATTGTTGGACAATTTAAATATTAAATATGACAAATGTATACTGCATTATGTTTTTCATTAAGAGTACACACCATTTACCAAGCATATCATCTCCATAATCTCCTCAAGGTGCTTTGTCTTAGTATGATGGTGAAAAATGATCCTTGGCTGCAAGGAAGAAAGATATCATTAAGCCATCCTTGTCCAGCTATATTGCTTTAAAATGCCACCGGTCTATCATTGCCAGTATCAAAACCTCAATTGGACACAGTGATCAGACTTCCCTGGTCCCCGTCTGAACTTTCTGCAGCTATGATGGTTGAGATTCTGTCTCACAGGGGGCGCTCTGACGCTGCTCTAATCCCTCCTCTGCCACCTCCTCCTCCTTCTCCTCCTGGACCAGTTCTTCCTCCTCCTCCTGATGTGGCTGCTCCTCTGACTGGCTCTCGTTCTCTACTTCTTGAGTGGGTCCTTCGTCTTCTCCTATTTCTTTCTCATCTGAGGAAAAGATATGCAAGTAAGACATTTCTTTAACCAGTAAGACACAACAAGGAGGGAGTAAGAAAGAAAGAAAGAAAGAAAGAAAGGGAGCATCGAAGATAATGAGAATAATTTGCAATACAAGAAATGATTGGTTATTGGGTGTGAAAATCAGTGATAAATCAAAGAAAATGAGCAGCATTCCCTTTGTGAAGGTTAACATACACAGAACAACACTGTAGGGAGGAGTATAGAACATAAGAGGCTTCACCAACATCCCATAATATCTCCCTCCCATCAATAACACAGCTTCAGGAGGATAATTAAAACTGAAAGATGTTGACGTTCAACACAAACACAAATCCAATTTCAGCATCAACACCAATGCTAGAGACTCTGGTGTTACAAATACACATACGTGTTAGGAACATAATTATATTTTTTGAATCATTGCTTCTTAATGTAATGATTAGTCTGATTCACTGTGGATTGAAAAATCAAGCCAGATTTACATTCTGACTGCACCATTATTTGCAGAATTTAAGATTCATTCCATTCCAGAGAAAATGATCAGAAGTCGAGACAAGGAGATTCTGCAGGAAAATGACATGATATACATAATTTACTGAACCAAAAATAAGTGAAAACAAAGGTCTAGATGTGTAAATACTCAAACATATGCTTTAAAATAGAAGGTGTCAGTACAGATGGCACTTTAATTTTGGGATGAACAGCATGCACATAAAACAGGATGTGTTTGGCAATGTAATTAAAACTGGGACTGGGTAAAAATGTGCTAAAGATGAGACTAAAATAAGTAATTAGCTCTCTTGTATTAAACCCCCCCCCCCACAGAAATATATCCCATCTGAATGGGATACATTTATTTATAATTCATATATTGTAGACTCAGTGAAAACCAGATCTGGGGCAAACAAGTTTATTATTTTCTAATGGCATTTGTTTAAATTTATGGACCATTAAGGCAATTCAGACAATACGAGGTCAGTTGTTAAAAGAAGCAGCGAGAAACTTTCACAATAGTTTTTCTGTTTTTCTAAATTTTGCAGGAAGAATTTTAATTCTCTAAAAATTGTATAAAATGTACTTATAAACACTATTTGACCCCAGTCTGGTGTAAACACCCCGTAACTGCTAAAACCCACTGTTGTTTTACTGCGATTAGAAGTAGCAGTTTGGTATAAGCATTGGGCTGCGTTCTACGTGGTTATGGATTCTACAGTGAAGAAAATAGGAGGATAATCAGGGGTGATCAAGTTTATCAAATTAGTTCAAATTAAGCCTGATCAGACAGAGAGGAGGGACTGGGGAACCTGGACTCTGCAGAGGTCGGGTCTGAGGGTTCTTTGGACTCTGCTGGATCTGGAAACTGTGGACCAAATTCCATGGAGCCGGAGCCTTGGCTAGAGGCAAGATCACACCGTTAAACCCACTGGTCACTGTAATGCTACCCTGGAAATGTAATGTGGAACTTGGATGAAAGTAGAATTTGATAAATGCAGGCTGATGAGGGAACTAAGAAACATGCTTAGTTGATGCAATTTTTTGAACCTATCTGAGTATATTGATCATTGTTTCTGTTGTACTGTTATACTTGTCTGATTACTGCCAAAATGATACTAACTAACCAGTATATTGGACAAGACATATACTATTTAACATTAGTTAAATAGTAAGAAAGGAAGGATTTTTTTTGCATTTTTTCCTGCAACCATTTTGGTTTCTCGTTGAATTGTGTCGGATCACGATGATAACAAACAAGAAAGTTGTCTGCACCCTGAAAAAAACAGGCCAGCAGCAGGATTCAACTTTTCAACTTATTTCATCTGGTAAAAAAGATGAATGAAGAGCCTGGGAGATAACTTTGAAAGATATGACTGACATGGCAGCTTTAATGCCTAAAAATCAAAATTTCTTTAACACTGTTGCTTCTTGTAGCAAAAAGGACAGTGATATCTGAAGGTGGTGGTGTCTCACCTCTGTTGGCTCCTTGCTCAACAGCTACAAAGGGATAAGAGTTGGCATCATTAAAGTTTGGGAAAGAATAAAAAAAAAACAAATGAAAAAGGTCAACTGGAGCACTGGGTTAAGAAGCATTTAACATGGGGAGTTAGGAAATGGAGTGAGTAACATAAAGGTGAACAGAACAGTATGAATCTATGTGCAGGTCTCTCAGGTGTAGCACACATGATCAGGTCTCAACTCAATTTTACTTATTGTTTGATGTCAGCTATCTATTTCAGTCTAACTTTTTGTGTTTGTCCGTGTATCTGTGTTTTCCTGTACCTCCAGAAGGAGGTGCACTCTCCTCCTCTGTCTCAGTCCCGGAACGTGGTGTTGGTCCAGGGGAACGTGATTCTGCTCGCAGCCTCCTCTCAAAGCTGAACTCTGGAAGCCTCGGAGCCTGAGGGCGTGTCTTCCTGGCCGGATTCAGGAAGTAGCAATATGCACAACGAAATGCTGGAGGGAGAGAAACAGAATCAGGAGAGAAAGTGAAACAGGAAGAGACAGAAACTGCATCATCTTTACCAAGTATTGAAATTCCCTCAATTCATAATTCCAGTTTGCACTACAACACCTTCATGGAGCTTTCAATCTAAAAAATCTCTTTGTCATTAAATGCATCCGTGTGTTTCTGTTCTTACCCAGGTATTCAAACTCTTCTTTCAGAGCCATGCCATTATGAGAAAAACACTGTTGACAGATCAACGCGTATCTATAGGAGAGAAGGTGGAATGGAGATGAAGAAAGGAAGATCTGAGATTTGAACAGGGCTACAGCACCAAACTGCTGCTGCTACAACTTCTCAGTCCTACACGTAGTGCAGGGTGGCATGGGTAGACCTGGTGTGATAATGACTGAACACCACTCCCCTGTGGAGAATCTGTAAACTGCTAAATGAGTGTGGGAGCAAGTTACAAGCTACTTGCACGAAGGACTTTAGATCTAAAAAAGGGTCTTCACCTGTTCTGTGGTCCATCCCCTACAAGGTACTCAATGACTCGATCCACAGCTCCCCTGTCTTTGGGTAGAATGGGTCTTGCTAATGGAGGACCTGGGGGGTGCATGCCTGCAGAAACAGTCCACATACAGGACAGAAACATTAGACTATATTGTGTGATTTAGAAAAGACTTTTTCTACATTCCACTATCACAAGCTCTCTAGCCTCAATACAATATACACTTTGACTGGTGATGCCTTCATCAGGTAAATGGGTGTTACAAATCACACATTTAAATTGCAGAAACCAGCTACATACACTCAAGCATTTATGCTAAGATACACTCACTGGCTTTACAACCTACCTACACCTGGTATAGGGGAGCAGGGGGTCCTTGGTACAGCCCCCTGGAGCACAGAGGCAGACAGAGCAGATCTCTCCGGTGGTCCTCCTGGAGCTGAGAGAGGGACAGGTTCTGTAGGGAGAGCAACATGGGACACAGACTAATGTCTAAAAGAACCAAGTCAAAGGCAACTGGATTTGCAGTCCATTCTAGTTGCCTTTGACTTGGTACTTTGCCCACGACCTGGATGCCTGGCTCATAGACAGACAGAGCTGACTTGTAACGTTCCTTGGAGAAACAGCACAACTGGCAAGCTTTCACAATCAACTGTTTGGATCCAGTACGACTGATGCACTTAGAAACTGTGATACTTAATCATACATAATGTTAAGTATCTGTGTCTCCCCTTACCCACAGGTGTGCCCCCTGGTCCCAATGGGGGCCGTGCTCCAGGTGGGGGAGTCATTGTCATGGCAACCGGGGTGCCCATTGGCATGGGTCTCATTGCCACCCCTCTTTGTCGAATCTCTGGATAGAGAAGAGGAACTCTTTACAGAATTGCAAAAGCAAGAATTTGATCTGTGAATCCTTTAACTCTTGCATTCTTGAAACAAAAACAAAAGAAAAAATCACTTTTTGTAGCTCTTGTCTCGCTCTCAACGCAACTCTGGCCTAAGACCCATCCAATACCACTGAACAAACATTAAATGTGATGCTTTATCTTTCTGTTTTGTATTGATGTATGTCGTACCTTGTCCTGGCCTGGGAGTCATCTGAGGACGCACCGGAGTCGACTCCAGCTCCTACAACACAACAGCAAACAAACAAAAAAAAAACCACACACACAAAAAAACAAAAAAAAAAACAAAAGGCAGATAAAACAGAGATAGAAAAAAGTAAAAAAGTACACAAACATACAAACAATTTTTTTTTAAAAAGTAGACAACAGCACTCACAGCTTTCTTCTTGGCTTCTGGATCAAAGCGCTCCAGGATGAGTTTGGCATTTTTATACGTCTCTGTTTCCATCACTTCCTCCAGCTGGAAACACAAACCAGGCAAATTTTTATGGGAACACAACATCCAAACTCTGTTTAAACAAGTCAGTAAAAAATTAGTAAATGAAATATGAACTGTGAAGGATTAAACACTTACAATCTTTTTCTTGGAAGCCTTTAAATCTTCTAGTTTATCATCTAAAATCAAAGGCATGAACAATGTTTTAAATGATACTATTCCATCTATAAGATAGCAGAATAGTTTACTACTGTAAAAAAATGTATGTCAATAAAAACAGAGGGAATAAAATTCAGAAATTCAGAAGAACACAGTCTAAATGTTATTTGCTAAGTTCTAAAATTAACAAAGGCTGAAAAGAGATTCTATGTGGTAGCTGGATGGACAGCTGACAGAGAGGGACTGATAGACAACTTACTGTTTCTCTCAGTGCGTTTGCAAAAAAGGAAAATCAGTAACTTCCTGATGAACCACACTCTAGTGAGGGGGAAAAAAAAGAGAGGCCAAGTGAGGAATGTTGTTGTTCTTGACTATAAACTTCAGATTCAAACTTGTCAACTCACACAGGCACTTGGAAAATAATAAAATAAAATGCAAAAACAAGGAACAGGGTTCACACCATTAAAAGATTATTTTAGGATGATACTTCTAAGACGCTGTGTACCAGATTATAAATAAAACACTTTGCAGAAGATTGCCAAGGAGTGGTCACTCACAGCACAGGATATATGAAGAAAGGCAGGGCCATTGCTATTCTGTGCAACCATTGTTCAGGTAGGTAGAGACAATAGACAATCAGACAGGTCAAGAGGTAGAGGACTGATGAGTAGAGAAGCAAACGGCCGACCCACAGCTGCAGACAGATACACACAAACACACTGATGAGGAGAAAAAAAACTACAATTTAAAAAAACCACTGTATGTTGTTGATGTTTTACCAACTTTACCTTTTGCAGACGTTGGTTTTTGGCTCTAAACTCCTCCAGCTCTTTAATATCCTACAAGGGAAACATGTGAAACATGGAGGTTAAAGGTTCTTTAAATAGTGCAAAGAATCTCAAATTATCAGATGTTCAGTTTAGAGTTCATCAACTATGAGTTTCAAGGAAAGGCATTTGCTTAACTATAAGTAGTAACCTTCTGATTTAATTCGGGATACTCAAGAATGGCATGAGTTAGTGTTTCAGGTACAAGTAAATGCTGCATCCCAACTTCAATAAAATAGTGACCTTTGTCATGAAGCAGGATTAATGACGTCAGTAGGATAAACTATGCTGAGTAAAACATGGAATTTCTGTCACATGTTCTGTCCTTGCTTATTTCAATAATCCTGCTTCTGAGAAAGGTCCTTGCTGATTGTATATCTCCATTATGAAAAATTAATTAACAAACTGGGTTGTATACATTTTCTGCGTTTAAAGAATTGGGTAATTACATAAAATCTGATACAATATTTAATTAGTACCTTATCCAGGTTCTCCAGCTGCTCAACTGTGGTTGGCTTTGCCTAGATTGAGGATAAAGATCGGAAAGTCATCAACAGGTTCATCAGAAGAATTAACACTGGGCTTATCAGTATCACTCACAACCATCACATTCAGAACTGATTGATTTGTCAGTAAACAGTCAGCCCTGTTTCTGTAAACACGTTTACTTGTGACTTATTAACGGATGTGTACATGCAACATGTAAATAAAAGCAAATGAAATGTGCAATTTCACATTGCTCTGCATCTGTACCCATGTGTATCCCTCTGGTTATACTTTGAATGAATTCAGAGATAATATGGATAGAAGGGTTTCACTTTTGCTGAATCTCTCTTGCTGTCTCTCTGTTTGTTGCTGTCTCTTTCCCTTTGACTTCTCCAGTATGTCTAAAAATAGTGCATGAACTTAATCTAGCTCGGGCCAAAGATTCAGTGTGTTGACGGCTAAGACACCCAAATTGTCTTAAATACTGTCATCACTTAAGGTGAACAAAAGAAAAAAAGTCTACTTTGAATCAGTGTTCAGAAATAACTTTTTGGCTAATTTGGTTGTTATTACTGTTTAAAAAACCTGACTGGCCAGGCTAGTCAGTCATCATTTGATTTGTCTATCTACAACTGTTTCCTGTATGTTTCAGGATTGATTTAAAAACTATATTGATGCTGGATGAAATTTGGCTCCACATTATATCACACCTCTTAAATCCCTATGATCTAGGTGTGTGATCTCTTAACCTTTTAAATGTCATTCCCAGGACTTTGTAGCTCTCTCCCTGAGGAGCCCAATCCATCATAATCATTTTATCTGCCAAGTCCCTTCTTTAAAGGGACATTTATTACGATTTTATGATTTGCCTCATAATTGTTAAATGTTGTGCTTTTACATCTTTCATTCTGTTTTCATTTTGCATTGTTAATGCCTTCTTGTCTCTCATCCACTTACCTTCCATCGGGAAATCAAAGCCCCCATGTTTGTAAATTACAGCAGTCTCCTCTTTGTTTCCTTTGGTTCACTATAAAACAGGAAGTCTCTGTTAAACGTGATTAAGGTAAACAAAACACATAATCCTTGATGTTACAGTTACACAATGTGTGCTGACGTTTAACACCACGATTAAGCTCTGTGCTATGCTATGACATGTACACAACACTTACATAAGTATTTAGCAAGTTGCCTATAGAATAACTGCACACAGTGGTTAGTGCTGTTGTTGTGGATTTACTGAGATAATATACTTACCGTATTCCCTCTTATATAACTACTCTCAATTGGCAGTTCATTGGGAACACCTAGCTAAAAATAATGCAGTCTAATACATATAATGTAACATATTTCAAAAGCAGCGAAACCTTCATGATTGTACAGCTGAATTAACATCAACTGAACATTGTAACCTTTACGAAGGAGGATTTATTGCAGAACTGTTGTAATAACTGCATTAGTTTTAGCTAGGTGTACCTAATAAACTGCCAACTGAGTGTATATAACAAACATAGGGCCGCACAGTAGTAACAAATATGCCACATGGTTGATCTTTTGCTGAAATTTGTCTGAGTTCATATGGATTGACATATTCAGCTCGAAAAACTGCTCATCATACCAATCCACTATGAATAGCTCTTGTTTTATCTCTCTGGACAGAGGGCAACATCTAGTCACTGGTCATGATGACATCCAGGACTGGTTTCCTTTTTGACTAGATATGACCTATCAGAGGATGACTCAGTATTTTTTACACATAGTTAACTAAAGTTGTTGTGATATCACTGCTATTATTCCAGCAGTGTAGTTCAGAAAAAAACAATGGGAAACCAGCAAGTAATGTGCACAGTTTTTCATAATGAGAAGCAGAAGGAAAAAGGAACAACAGCTTACATCCAGGAAAGAATCAATTTACAATGAAATAGTGCTTCCAAAGCTTACTAGCAAAATATTCAATGAGAAATTTGGCTTTTGTTGATTTGCATAAAATATGTGTTATGGGTTGCACTGTCGGTGAGAACATTTTCAGTAGATTACTTGAAATAATACCAACCTAATGAAATGTGTCGATCTCTACATCTGTAACCTTTGTAAGCAAAGAAGTTGAGACTTGGGGTTTTAGTCCCGGGATGGTCATCAGACATAAATGCATAATATTTATAACTTAAAGGGTTTCCAGGCAAATAATGGAGCTCTCTGTTTGTCTTTGTCCTTTCAGATGGAAATTAAACGGTTACATAAATTCATGTTAGCAGCAAATGGAGCTAACGTTAGCTGCTCCATCAAAACACTGGACATTTTACACCGCTGCAAGCAAGCTAAAGTAACGTTAAATGGCTGTCACTGTACCAGAAAGAGACACTCTAACTGACCGAAGTTTTATGCTTCCAGATAGATGTAGTAAATTAACCAAATCAAAATGTTTGCTAACTGTTATCTAGTTAGCTACTGCAACCACAACAGACTAGCAAGGACCGACGTCAACAGCAGATAGACACGCTGTCATTAACGTTGGTTATCTTCATCTGGGCTTATGTAATGTGTATTTAGATCAAATAAATACTTACAGTCTGCGGTGTTTGGGTGTTTGTTCGCTGCTCATTCAGACAGGTTAGCGCAGAAACAAGCAAACAGCGGTCTCTTGCTGTATCCCGGACTGACATCTCAACTGCCAAGAGAGTTTGGCGCGGCGTGGAGACGTAACGGACGTAACCCATTGATGACGTAACCAGAGAGCAGACCAAGTGGCAAATGTGACGTCACCCATTGGTTTTGAAGCCTCGGTTTTGGCTTATGGACGTCGCCATCTTGTTTTTTTGGAGCCAGAAGAAACCATATTCGGATGAGAGGGTCCAGCCTGGGAGGAGTGAGGGGTGGATCTGACTTGTATCACCGAGGACGCTATGTACGCCCACCCGCATCAGCAACCAGACAGCAACAGTCTCCTGGCTGAGCCGTGGGAAGATGCTGCTAACACGGCTATCTGTCACAATTCAAGGTAATCTAACTGTTAAATTAGTCATATGCGCTAACGCTAAACGGTAAAAACACAGTGTAAAACGTATACTAACCTTGTGTTTTAAATTGGTTCTGCAGAACATGAACAGACTTCAGAACAGCTTCTCCCTCAGACAGAGTCTGCTTCATGTAAACTGTGGCACACAGGAGGACTGGTGATGAATAACGGCTCCTGGACTTTTTGGACCTTACCTCCATCACTTAGACTGTTGCACTATCCTCACTTAGCAATGAAGTATTATTTTTACATTTCTACTATAATTGTGCGTTACTAAATAAGATTTATTCACCTCTCTTTCTTATGCAAACTTTTATTTTTAATTTGTCAGTTAGTTGATTGTAAATTGCACACATTATTTAATTCATCCATTTATTACATTCTTTTGTACACCTCTCCAGTGGTGTAAATTGTTAAAATTAGTGTAGTTTTAATGTGAAATAAAGTTTTGCAGCACATCTATTAGGAGTCTCACTTTGCTCCAGGTTGCAGTTCTGGCGGGTCAGCTCCATCTGTTTCCTCCTGAACACCGTTTTCATGTTGAACTGGTCAATACTTTCACCTGTGAGGAGAAATAGGTGACACATGACGACTTGAGACTTAAGGAGATACCCTGCTGAACTCAATTCAGTGTTTTTAACGGCTCCCTTTTATTCTCCTTTGTAAATGAAATTGAGCGATACAGAGCTACTATGGAGCAACATGTGAGGCTACAGGGGAAAGTGGTCTCAGACTTTTGGACACCACTATATAAACTAACCCTATACTGAGAGGTGTTCCTAATATTTTGTCCATCCCATTTATAGGAATTAGATTTGACAAAATATTAGAAACACTTCTCAGTATATCCCAGTGCACTTAAACAATTACCACAATTACAATTACAGCCTCCAAAATGACCATCAAAATAAACCAACAACAGATTCAGTAAATACTGAACATTATAATCCTCATGAAGGAGGATTTACTGCAGGCCTGTTCCATTATACTGCATTAGTTTCCTCCAGGTTCACCCAATACATATATTTGAATTAAAACTAAAAATAAAGGACACTTACAAATGCTAAAACAAATTAGCCCTTTATTTAAAGTTTACCCAATATACAGAATCACTTAATAAAATGCATTCCTTTGAACACAATGGTGATGGGGTTAATGGGGCAGAAATAAGTGACTGCAGATTGCCTTAAAAAGGTCCACTGTGTAACTGCTGCTAGATGTCCTGAACAGTCCGTCTCATCTTGTAATACCACTTTGTTCCTCAAGAGGCAATATTGAGTCACTGTAGCGTGATAAACTTTCAGTTCAGGTGAAACTGATGCTCTCCCTCCAGGGCTCCTCACCCTGTGATAGAGAGACATGTGATGACCTTAGTTTTCTCAACCGGTGCCCATCCATCCACTGTACCACAGCACATGACGTAAGCTGCAACAATAAAAGAAAGCACAAAATACAGATTAATTCTTACATACAGTAACAGCATTGTGCCCAATGGAAACTATTTACAACAATTTTACCAGGGAAACAGAAAATGTCCAGTCTTTGCACTGTGCTCATTTTAACTTTCTATCTTGGTGTTGAAGAGTTTTTAAGACTTTTAAGTTCATCGTAAATGCAATTTAAGAATATAATTAAAAGAATAGAAAAAAGAACAATGCAGTAAAAGTCTTTGTCATCTTTGAATATATATACTTTATATATTGAATAAAGAAAAAGTTGTCATCCTGTCTTCTCTTCATCTCTTCCCTCCACTCCTCCACAGTCTTTCCACCAACAGTCACACAGTGTGACACACCTGCAATGTGAGTGAGGTCAGTGTCAATCCTTCTGGGTTGGACACACTTGCTGCAGATGTATGAAGTTGGCAGCTGACGAGTTTTTCATCCAGGCAGCGGCCTCCGCTCTGCCACAGCAGCTTCCTCTTCCTGTAGGCTCTGGTCCTGGGTACAAGTAGTCCAGGCAGAGGAGGTGGCTGAACAGAAGTGCTGGAGCGAGGGAAGGACCAACAGCACAGAATGAGGGGCCAGGCTGTTCATCGTCTGGAGGAGGAGGAGGCAGACCCCTGCTGGAGGGCCCAGGCTGCTCCTCTGGGACATTGAAGTTAAAGGGTTGTCCTTGGATTAATCGGCAGGTCCCCCTATGTGTCAATCATGCAGTAGCCACGTCCTAAAACCACTCTGCTTCAACATCTATTTTCTTTTAAATAGGACCATAATTTGAAAAATGAACATCATGTTGTATCGAAGAAAACTTCCAACTAGCAGCCATTGGAGTGATGGTCATTCACTAGAATGCAAGTTTAAGGCACTTCCACATTGGCTTTATTTTCCAGACCCGGTGTCGACGGCCATTTTTATATACAGTCTATGGGGCAGACGTTGCTTCGTTTCCCACACTCCTTCACGTTGTAGTATTTGGTCTTTGTGTTTTTATCACAGTCACAGACTGATCTTTGTCGACATTCTGTGGTTTTTATATGTTGAAAGCCCAACTAGATGAAAGCACCCTGCTTGGAGTTCATTAGATAAATGATTAGTCAAAAACCCCCATGCTTTTATACAATATTTTTATACTATAGTAACTATGATTTTACAAACAGAAATCAACATATTAAGTATGATACCTTCATATAGATTGAATAACTTAACAGTGTATAATGTAGGAAATATTAGCTCCACCTAAACTATTAAAATACTGCATATGTTTCAATACATCAGAAGGCTAAATATTCCAATTATATGATAGCCTACACATAACAATATAACACTCACATTTTTGGCTAATAATACATATAAAAACACACAGAAATAGGATTTAAAAAGATTAAAACAAAGTAAAATCGAATTGAAAAAAAAACCCCAAAAGAGCACCTACACCAAATAAATAGAGCTTCATGAGTTTTACATTTTAAGATGTTTGACCTCTAGATGTCGCAATTTCATTATTTCATGTGGCCTTTCATTATTCAGTGCTGCGTTCAGTCTGAACTGATCAGTGAGACAGAGAATAATATTTTTTATTGAGTTGTCAGTAAAACTGTAATGATATCACATCTTTCATTAAACAGTTAATGGTAACCTTTTTCTTCCGGTGTGACATGTTGCCACACATTACCATGACATACCATTTAATCTCAATCATTATTTATTTTAGTACAATCACTTGGAAAATATTTGTAATGTAAGTATATCCTTTCCAGGCTGAAGTCACATATTGACAATAATGGACCTGTCTTCCTCTCTGCAGGTAACAACAGCTGGCAAGGCACTGTGCAGCCCTGTAGACCCTCAGATATATATTTACAATATAAATTGATCATTTTATATTTTCCATTTTTATTTAATTCAGTAAAAGTGATTATTCTACAAAAAAAAATCTGGGCTGCAGAATGTCAAAATTGCACGGTTTGCACCAAAACAAACTAAGGCCCAGTTCAGCTCCTCAAACACACACATATGTTCCCATAGTGTTTCCACTGTTACCACATCATAGAATATGTTGTTTAAACTGTGGCATCTCTCTAATATGCAGCAGCATGTTCTCAACTCCCATCTGAACTGTTTCAGATTAGGCTGCAGTGTGCAGAGATCTGGCCTTCAGCTTTAATGCTTACAGCTTCCTCTAGAGTCTGCTGAAGAGTTATGGGCCTAATAAAACTCTCTCTCTTTTCTCTCTCTCCCTTTTTCTCCCTCCCTCGCTCTCTCTCTCTCTCTCTCTCTCTCTCTCTCTCTCTCTCTCTCTCTCTCGCACACACACACACACACACACACGATATGCTGTTGATGTATATTATGATGAGTAATCCTGATGCTGATGTTATTTCCGATTCATTAACCCGTAATAAATTAAACACTCTGAATGGAAATGAACAGCAGGGACCTTTCCAACTCCCTTGTACCCCACTTACACAAAGTACACACACAGATGCGTGTTGTAGCCTGTGTGTAGTGGGACAAATGGATGGTTGCAAAGCCACAGGACACCAAGCAGTAATCACATCATGTAGGCCATCAGACAAAATTAAATACAATAAAATAGACCTCTTGAGTATTCTTGCATGAAAGTGGGGATGAAATAAACTATTTTTGTGTTTTAATCTTTGAGTGATTTTTAAATTCAGAGCGGCAAGACTATTTAGAGATTACATTATTCATGTACTTACTTTCAAACCCATTGTTAGCCAGCCTTCATTAGGCAAATCAGATTTAATTGCTGATTAGCAGTTTTCATGAGCCTCAGACTGGTGTGAGCAAATTCAGATAGGCTATGTCTTTAGTACATGTTTAACTAATTCAGCCGGTTTTGTTACGCAGTGGCAAGTAAAAATAAAAGTAAATTTTCATTCAAATCTCTAAAAGAATAAGAGAAATTAAACACAAGAGTAAATCTGTGCAAATGTCACTGTAACAGCCTCTTTATTGTGATCCATCCGCTACTTGTACACACGCATTTAAAGCTTAATTTAATCTCGATCGCTTAGTGTGTTTTTGTGCAATTTCAATTCCTCTTAATGTAAAATCTCTAACACGCATTTTTCAAAGCTCTGATAAGACTGTGGCACTCCACTGCTATGATTACAAGAGTTAGATATTACAGTGGTATTATATTGTCTCCCTGCATCCGAATCCACGTACAGGTCTTGCACGCCTCCATTTGCTGTC